TCTCTCCCTCTCCCTTCCTCTCTCTGAAATCAATAAAGATATATTTTTAAAAAAACAAAACTCCCAAGCCAAATATATGAAATAACCTCTTGGCAATTTTCTTATTCTAATTTCAGATATGAGTTCATTGATGTAATCACCAAACACTACAGTGACTTTCTAATCACATTATTTTAAGCTTATTTGGCTTAAAAAAAATCTTGAAAAGAAACCATCTTCCTTAAGGAAGGAGAAAGAATGAAAGCTACCCTGTTGGAACTGTGCTATTACAGATGTTGCAAACTCTCCCCAAGTTTTTGCCCTGTTGTTCTGTAGTTTTTAATAGAACCACGAGACTCATCACAGTTTTTTCCCCTCTACAGCTCTAGGTGTTCAAATCTGATATAGCCCAAGGAAAAATCCCTTGTTTAAGTTCTGCAGTAAATAATCCTAAACAAAGAATCTGTGTTTCTGACCTTGGGGTGAATATAATTATTTGAGGTTGTAAAACCCATGTAATAGCAGTGCTGGCAGAGAAAATATTACCAGAGAATTCTAAAATGGTAATGGAATTTTTTTACTCTATATTCTATCTTTTGAAAAAGCAGAACTTGCTCTATTCAATGAGTCAACAGGTACACACTGTACCTTCAATATACTCAAAGGATATTATGAGAGATGATTGCATAGACTTTGTCCTTGAGAAATTTACATTCTTTTATGGGAGACCCAACAAGTAAATGAGAACAAAATTGGAACAAGGTGCAGGGAACATTATGAAAAATGGGACATGACTGCCTACCTCGAGGAACCTGCAAAGGACAGAGGTTGACATTCGTATAATACAAACAGCCAGCTCCTTGCCATTCCCCTTACCTAGAAAGGATAGGAAGTTTGATTGACTCATTGGAACAGTGTTTATTTCCAAGAGCCAATATTATTTTAAATGTGCACGAAAAGCTCTCTCATTCCTCACAGAATGCAGACAATATTCACAGCCTGCAAAACAGGAACTGTCCCTGCTGCAGGAAACCGAAATACATCTAGACTTCTTGTGACAAGTTGGAGAGCTTAGCGGTGACATCATTTGCTAACAATAGATGCACTTAAAATTAATGACCGTCTCCACATCCCCTGGCATTTCATTTAAGACACACTCAGCAGCACAGATAATATTCCTTTGACTGCAAGTCACAAGGATTAGGGACGACGTGTTCCTGAGAAGCAGGCAGGGCTAGAGCTCTACCTCCTCAAAAAGATAAAAATGGCTAAAGGAACCTGAGAAAATGAATCAGAAGTGGCTCACAGCAGGGCGAATCTGGGGCAAAATGAAAACAGAAATTCTCCAGACACAAGGGTCTCCTGGAAGGGCCACGACTCTCCCCCCTCCCCCATGTCACCCTCCTCCGCAAGGGGGTAATCCTACTTCTCACAGCAAAATATCCCAATTCATTAACTTGCTTTACAGAGTCTTTCGCCATTGGCTTGCTCTAAACTGTGAGAGTCTATTTTTTTAAATTTCTTTTTTTATTGATTTCAGAGAAAGGAAGAGAGAGGGAGAGGGAGATGGAAACAATGATGAGAGTCATTGATCGGCTGCCTCCTGCACGCCCCCTGCTGGGAATTGAGCCCGAAACCCAGGCATGTGCCCTGACCGGGAATCGAACCATGATCTCCCGGATCCTAGGTCGATGTTTAACCTCGATCTCCTGGATCATAGGTTGATGCTTAACTGCTGAGCCACGGCAGCCGAGCTAAACTGTGAGTCTTTAAAGACAGCCAGGATTTGTGTTTTATTCACCAAATAGTTTCTAGAGTCCAAGACACAGTAGGTACTTAATAAGGGTTTGTTTGTTGAATGGGTGAATCACCCAGATTAGAACTGTTGCAATATCTGATAAAGGTCTTGCATCTAGAACCTGGATATTGCAACAGTGTACACACACACACACACACACACACACACACACACACACGCATATTTAAAGATTCTTAAAACTCAACAAAAGGCAAATAACCCAATTTTTAAAACCAGGCAAACGAATTTGAATAGCTATTTCATCAAGGAAGATATACAAATGGCTAATATGAGAAGATGCTCAACATCATTAAGCATCAGGGAAATGCAAGTGAAAACTACAGTGAGATACTGCTTCACACCCACTAGGATGGCTAGAGTAAAAAAGACAGACAATAATAAGTGTTGATAAGGATGTGGAGCAATTGGGATTCTCATACGCCGCTGGTGAGAACGCAAGTTGGTCTGGCCACTTTGGAAAACAATTTGGCAGTTTCTTCTAAAGTTCCACATCTACTTACCATTTGGCCCAGCAATCCCACTCCTAGAA